GAAACATGGGTGCACTACTTCATTCCCAAGTTCCAGCAATCATCACGCGAGTGGCGGCATACCAGTTCTCCCAAACCCAAGAGAGCGCGGAGGAGCCATTCGGCAGGAAAAGTGATGGCAACGTTCTTCTGGGACTGGCAGGGCGTTATCCATGTAGACTTTCTGACAGATGCCAGAACAGTCAATGCAGCTTATTACTCAGACCTCCTGGCAATAGACGCGAAGGAAAAGATCCGATCCAAGCGGAAGACAGGTGGAAAGAGGTAGCCTTCCTTCAAGACAATGCACACCCCCATATGGCCAAAACAACAATGGAAACCCTCCAAAAATTGAAATGGAACCTTCTGACACATCCGCCATACAGTCCCGATTTGGCACCAAGTGATTTCTACCTGTTCGGAAGGCTCAAATCAGACTTGCAAGGCATGCGGTTTGTGGACAGTGATGCCGTCATCCAGAATGTTCGGGAGTGGATACGCCGCCAACCACAAGACTTTTTTGAAAAGGGCATCAGGATGCTTCCAGAACGTTGGAAAAAATGTGTTGACTCCGGAAGGGAGTATGTTGAAGACTGACACGTGCAAGTAAGTGTTTGACAATTTTGGTTCAAAAAAAAAATCAGTCCCGGTCATATTTGAACCACCTTGTATTTTAAAATTTTTAAATGGCAGGCTTTGAGAAAGAGTCCAGATGGTGTTTAGATTTTACTTTGCCCCCATCCATTCTGAGACAGACTATGGCAGCTTCATGTATGGCTCCACAGAAGTTTAAGTTGTGGTCACTGATGGCTTCCATACCAGCTGGTTTGAGAGTCTGTATGTGGGACCTGGAGAACTCCTCTGTTCTTGCAGAGGGATCTCCTTATGCAGTCCTCTGTGTTGTACTCTATCACTTGACCCATTGCAGCAGCTGTGAGTCCCAGTCCCTCAACCTGTGGTCATGGACTTCTATTCTTCATTCCCTTCACATGTGCTTGCTGCATATTATTCATATTTCAGTCTCACGTATTCCAGCCTGGCACATTGTACAGCTACTAGCAACCACCAACTCATAGGCTGTGCCATAGCTCAAGTGGTTAGTTGCTGGCTTCCCACCGCGGCGGCCCGGGTTCAATCCCGGGTCTGGTCAAGTGGGATTTGTGGTGGACAAAGTGGCACTGGGGCAGGTTTTCTCAGAGTACTTCGGTTCCCCATGCCAATCTTCATTCCACCAACTGCTCCACAATCACCCTCACCTATCATCTGGGGCTGGTACAATAGGCCAGAAGTGGCTGCAGTACAAGGGACATAGTCCCACCCCACTAGCAATAAAGAAAAACATCAACTCATCAGTGATGTCAGAGGCAAAACATCTGCCTTAATGCGTACCTGGCTTTTACCATATTCTTGCCTGCATATCAGAACAACTTGGTGACTTAAATTGATGGGTCATTTGTACATGGTGTGACTGGTTGTGCCTTCATCTGAGAAGGCTAATTCTTCTCATATGGGCTGAATTGTTTTAACACTGTGTATGGCTGAACTATGCCACGTACTGAGCTCTTCTATTTATTTATTATCAGCTTTTATAATGTCACCCCCTGTGCACAGACACATTGAGTGCCTTGCAAGATCATAGTTTTCTCATTTAATCTACACTGGACAGAGGTGTAGTTTTTTTACTTTTGATGCAATAATGGGAATTCAAATGGGAGGGATGTCCAACCTGGGTTGACTGATTAGGTGATCTGTCGGAGACATGTGGGCAGTTTCCTTGTATTTTCTGTATGTAGTGGTTGGTTCAGTCTAATTTTTTCTTGAGGATAATACATATCCTTTGTTTCTTACCAGTGGCAGCACTTTTGTCAGTGCTTCTGTGTTTGTTCATGTTGATCACTTTTAAGTTCATAGGTGGCACACAAATTAAGAAGACAAAACGTTATTTGATGTGCTACATGGCCTGTGTGACTATGCATGATCATGGCATAGCATGTCAGGTGATAGCATTTGCATGTAGCAGTATTTATCACAGTTACAAAACCGTGTTATAGCAAAGTCAGATAAAGTGAGATTGCATATGATGAAGGATACCTGTACAGTGTTGAAATTTATGGAGACTTTCAGTGCACAGTGTTGCCTGATACCTGATTTTACACAGGGCTTGATGGGTTGGTACATGGTACAGTCCGGATTAGAAGATCGTTTCCATGGTGACAGTGATGTCCCACGAGTGTCCCAATATCGACTTGCAACACATCTAAGTTTGGCCTTCATTTTATATACACTTCTGCTCTGGTCAGCTTTTGATCATCTTCTTCCAGCGCAGAGACTTACAGAAGCTGCATCTGCCTCTGCACGACGATTCAGATGGCTGACACATACTTGTAAAGGCATGATATTTCTAACTGCCCTCTCAGGTAAATAACTCAGGAAGAGAATCTTTGTGTGTTATGTTTATATATTTTATTCATTTCAATTGTGAGCAGACTAGTTATTGCAGTTACTAAGAACAGTGAGCACTGATGGGAATATTGCAGGTGCCTTCGTAGCTGGTTTGGATGCAGGCTTGGTGTACAATTCTTATCCAAAAATGGCAGATAAGTGGATTCCTGATGACATTATGGCATTTACACCAAAAGTCAGAAATATCACTGAAAACCCAACAACAGTCCAGTTTAACCACAGATTGTTGGTAGGTGGACGCTCTTGGATATATAATTAAAAGAGTAATTAGATGATGTGATTATGTATACCAGATATTTATAATTTGATTTTATTGTGGTGGAAAATTATTTTTAGATAAGTTGAATTCACATTTTTTGTGAACCAGAGATGACAGAAGTGTGGTTTACATAAAAGCCTAAGTATGGGTTCATATACACTCAACTCTCGATTATCTGGGATAATGGTGGGGATGGAAATCATGATTAATCGAAAACCCGGTTAAGGCAAAATTTTATTAAAAGTAGTAGTGTAATACTGTACCTTCATAATACTATAGGCCTACCTGTATTTAAATTTATTCAACCTCACTTTTATGTCATCTCATGGCCTATTTAATACTTTTTTTACATTACACTGAAATATGAATTAGTTATTTCAGTCACAGTGTTCAACAACATCCAACATTTTTTTACGAATATTCATACTTAACACTTAAAAAAAATAATATTGTCGTTTGATTTTTCGCATCATTTTCCTTTTTACGGATATCCATACAAAGCGTACGTAACATTAGCATGTCACTTAATAAACTGTTGTCTTCACTCTCAAGATAGTCTAGTAAGGATTCCAAATGATTAAGAGCAGCACCATGTGATATTTTCTTACTAGCAGCACTGTCCACCTCTTCCTCATTCTCACTTTCTTCCCGCTCTTCTGGCTGCACCCCCACTGAACTTACGATTTCGTCACTGCTTAACATTTCGAAGCCTGGCTCACACGAGTCACAGTCAAACCACTCTCTTATATTTTCCTCGTTGACTTCTTCACCACCATGAACTTGGTTAGCCAGTTTTGTTAGTTCTATGGCTATCTCATTTTCACTGAATCCAGTGAATCCATGGATTTTGCTAATGCACTTGAAGATCAACACAAAGAGACTAACTGGGGCGGTGTATCTGTCCTTGAAACTTTCCACAAATCCTTGCATTCTTTCACCCCTACCCTTGAACATTGTGTTAGCATAACGGGACCAAGAAATGCAGAGCTTGGTTCACACTAGTGCGAACATAGTGTTAGAACTCACCATGTGAAACAAAAGTGAATGAATATTAAACAACATATAAGCCTCAGAAAGGCCCCAGTTAAGCCGCAAACCAGTTTATCCGCCCCTGGATAATTGAGAGTTGAGTGTATAGTAAACTTGGGGAAACAAATCTGCTTTCTTCCTAAATACTTTTCTGACTTTGCAAAAACTTAATTTTATTTCATGTAAATGAAGTAAAGAAGGAAAATTACAGCACCAAAGATTAAAACTCAGAGTCTAATGCAGGAAACCACATTTTCCACTGTGCTAATCAAGTGAACGTGAATGCAGTTTGTAGTAGAAGATTTAAAGTGATAGAATATTACAACCCGACATGAATTTCATTCTGATGACAGGGAACGTCGACTCTTGCTCTCATCTCTGGAATGTGGCTGTTGTCTCGCAAGCTGAAACTGCCACCTCGAGCCCACACAGCTGCAGCAGCAGTTGCTGTCATGGGGTGGACGCAGGTATGAGAACGTCTGTAATTATAGTAAAATAATGGGCCTTTCCCTCATTACTGTTAACATCTTTGCATGTTACATTCTGTTAAAAAATGAAGCCCGGGTAACCAAGGTATAGCAGTATAGTCATGATGTCTGAGGCTGAGGAAATGCCGCTATATTCTGTAGGTTATTCTAGAATTAAGATTTTGTTTAGAAATGCACTATTTAATGAGAAAATAATTGCATGTAAGCCATACAGTTGAATTAACTCTCCTAATCAGTCACACCCATAATCATATTCATTTGACACTAATATAACCTTTCAAACTGGAACGTTTTAAGAAAAAATAGCTTTATTACTTGTGGGGCTAAAATTCTTAAGAATTATTCTGTGGCATAGACATTGGTACTTTTTTCCTTTGTTGCCTCTCTTAATGTTCCGTTTAGTTCAACAGAACGCCCTTCTGACAGTTCCTTCACCTAGGACTTGTTCTTTGCCTTTTCTCCATCACCACACACTTGGTCCAGAAAGTTCATTAGTAACCATTAACCCTTATCATCTGTATGTCACACAACTGTAACAGTGCATGCACAGGTGCAGCAGCCCTATCCTGACATTGTTTTCAGTATACGTGCCATCGCCCTCAAGTTAAAATTCTGTGTGGTAGATGGAGATTGAAATTCCCTATTCCTCATTGAAAGTTAATCTAAAATTGGTATATGCTGTTCTTCATAAGGATGAAAGAATACGTATATCAGAAGTCTGTCTTATTTCTCTGGGGTTTGTCGTGATGCTATCACAAGATTAACAAAACTTGTACTAGTTACTATTACTGTGAACATATAAAACTCTTAAAATGAATATCATTGATTATGTAAATGCATTCAGTATTAGCACTAATAGCATATAATATTCATTAAATCAGTGCCTAACAGTCATCACGAATAATCACTGGGCATCCACAAACTAAACAAATCCCAACAAGTATGTCATGCCTCAAACCTAGGGTTATGATATTTACATGCCACAAAACAAAGATATGACTTTGTGAGGTCAACTTATTACCCCCTGTGTATGTGACTGTCACATTGGAATATGTTCAACAGAATAAAATAGTATTGGTGTGCAACAAATAAAATTTTTATTTGAAATTATTTTGTGGTACATGGTATTCATTTTCTGGAAACTGTTAATATTTTTCATTAGAACCTACTTTGTGTAGAAATGTAAAAAAGGTAAAGCTATCCCTTTAACAGGCTGTGAAGGCCCATAGGTTTGTGAGACGTCAAGGCTCCTACATTTTGTAGATAATCAGCTGACAGATGGCACTGAGGTTGTCAGGATTATGTGCCAGCCTCACTTTATTCCCCAGGAGGGTTCCTGGTACTCATTTCTGTTAGAGGCTGAGTAGACTCCAGAGTCATAGTGCAGCTGGAACGATTAGGTCAATTGAAAAATCCAGTGACCTCATCAGGAATCAGACCTGTGACCTACCAGCTTGTAGCATAGTGCCTCAACCCACTACACTACTGCGTGCTACCGTAGAAATGTATGATTATTTTTATTTTTTTCATAAATCTCTAGACATGTTAATTCAGTGTTACCTTTTCAAAACAGCAGCACTTGAACATTAGTTTCCAAAAGAGGCTGATGTTCCAGGTAAGCAAAAAATAAATTCAGTAATTTTCATGTGGTTGACAACTGAAATATTTTTTTCATTAAAATCATTACAGAATTGAACCAGTTTAACCTTTAACCTCTAAACATTTCTTATGTTGCAGACATAAATCCCTTTCCAAATGTTTCTTCATCAGAAAGGCGGTCAGTATATGTTATTGCTTGTTATCCACAGTATATGCAGTTTTTTCCTTCCCCCCCCCCAACTTTGGCCCAAGTAACTTCACTATTTATCCATGTATTGTACTCAGTTTTCAAAAAACTATCTTTGCATAGCAGTCATTAAAATATGCATCTTCCATAAAGAATGTCAGCTTCTTCAGTGAAAGTTTTGGAATTAATCTCTTCAGTATCCTCTGATTTCCATAACAGTAACATACGAAGGGGGACCCAAAAATAACCGGAAACGACCTGTTGCGCGCGCATGCTTTGTAGTTACGAGTTGTGCTGCTAGGTGGTGTTAGCTGGGGGTCTCCCGCGACTGTTAGTGAGCTGGCGTCAGTCTGAGTTAAGTGGTTTGTCTGTGGTGCTCTGTTGTGTGCGTTCCTGTTTCAACCCTTTGGCGATTAGTGAGATGGCCGACCAGAAGGAACAAAGAGTGTGCGTGAAATTTTGCTTTCTGTTAGGGAAAACTGCACTTCACTCTTCAAGTCGCGGCAAACATTCACGCGGTTTTCTCTTTGGTCATCTCCGAGCAAGCGAGGAACAAATTTTGCAGACACCCGTCTCATGTGCAAACCTTCGGTTAAAATTCGCTGGACCGTGCTCCATGAGATGTTCGTTTCCTCAGAAAGTTGGTCAATGGTCTTTCGACGATCTTCATCAATTTCACGCACACTCTTTGTTCCTTCTGGTCGGCCATCTCACTAATCGCCAAAGGGTTGAGACAGGAACGCACACAACAGAGCACCACAGACAAACCACTTAACTCAGACTGACGCCAGCTCACTAACAGTTGCGGGAGACCCCCAGCTAATACCACCTAGCAGCACAACTCGTAACTACAAAGCATGCGCGCGTAACAGGTCGTTTCCGGTTATTTTTGGGTCCCTCCTCGTAGTTCATTGTGGAATAAAACAGTTGTCATGTCTTTCTTGCAAAATTGGTTTCAGATTTTTGAATTCACAAACTGCCTCTGCTGCACAAAGTTTAGTTTTCTCTGTCTTTAATATTATTTTATTAAATAAACTGAGCTGTCTGAAAATGAACTGTAAATGTACTTGTAGTTCTTGTGGTTCTTCAAAAAACTTCTTGATTATTAATGGACATGTGTTCTTGAGAATTAAAATAACTTTTTAGACCTTCAAATATATGAAGTATCCTATTCATAGTGGGAAGAATTGACAGAAATCTTTTATTGCCATGTTGTAATGCAAATTCCTTATATACTCCACATCTGCAAACTCACAAGCTCTTTTAACTGGGTAACATGAACAATATGCAGGGTTGCAAGATTCTTGTTGCTGAGGCAGAAAATCTGGGGCAGGAGGGATAGTATAGGACTATAAACAAGGACAAAATCATGAACCAGCCAGGAGAAGAGCCCAGAGCTGAGATTGTCCCAGTCAAGTCAGGACATGGGATAAGCCTACTGATACTTCAAAATTAACAGTGTAAGAATGTTTACACTTCAGAAATATTTCTGTTTTGTAGGACAGTATCGCAGATATTGAATGTATGATATATGTCATGTTATGAAATGTATATAAAAGGCAGAGTCACTACTCCAGATATATTGATCTGGGGTTATTGCATGTCAATATTGCAGTTAGAGTGATTACGGTCTAATGATTACTGTTTTTAAATATTTTTGTGTTGGTACAGTATGCTATGAATACATGAGTTTTGAGGTATTCCACAGCTGCTATGTGTCTTATTTTCCTAGAAATCATTGAATCACGATTGTTTTTATGCTTCTCCCCCCCCCCCAAAGTATAAGATACCATGGGGTTTTGAATGAAGGTGAAAGAAAAGTAGAGGTAGCCCTTGATGTATGCTTCATTTGTGTTCCAAGAAAATGTGAAATTGCATAAATTGAATGTTAGGCTAAATTTCTCCTTTTCCCGTAACATTTCTCCTCTGCCTCCCACCCGTGCTTCCCTGATGTCATTACACCAACCAGCAAGCAGTTCACATTGAAATGAGTAATGTTATGGAAATCAATCTACATTAGTTGAGCACGTTAAAATGCAATCACATTTTAAAGAATGAGCAGTACCTGTATTAAGTCTTAGTGGAGTAAATTTTGTATATCTTTCATCAGCATTTTAAAATATATATTGATTATTATGATCTATAATGTATAGATACTCATATTTTGTTTCTTGAAAGCAGAAGGAAATGAGTTGTACACCTGTTTCTCATCATGGCTGTTCTGTGAACTGGATGTTACATCCCTAGGACTGTGATTAAAATAGCAAAAATTCTTCACGTCTGTTGCAGGTGATTCTTGGTATATCTACACTACTGCTGTATGTACCAGTACCACTTGCAGCAAGTCATCAATCTGGATCATTGGTGCTCCTTTCACTTGCTGTTTGGCTTACTCACGAGCTCAAGTATATTAAAAGGCTACCAAAATAGTATGAACAGTGTTGAAGTAATCTAAACTTCGCCCCCCCCTCCCATTATTGGGAAGTGAAGAATGGTTTCCAGCATATTATAAGTGTTGAAGATTTGAAGTTTTAATGGCAGTGATTTTGAAGACGACTGTCTTCTGGGATGTGATGGTAGATCATTACTGGCAATTCAGAGGAACATATGCCTTCAATTTCAGGGTGGATGGCTCTTCTACCTTGAAGAAGAAGGCAGCACTGTCCTCCAAAATATCAGTGACAGTCTACCAGAGAACTCATCACATCTCAGAAGACAGTAATCTTTTACTATAATAAAATACTTTTTAACATCAGGACAAGGAGAAAGAAAGATTATGAATCATACAAGAGGTTGTAACATTTTTGCCCATGCATGAGACGTTCTCAGCTGAATAATGAAGAAGTCATGCTTGTAGAGGAGAACTTTGTTTTGTTGTTTGAGATATTATTTTTTTCTGTTGAATTCCAAACTATTGGCATAGATTCTGTGGTCTTAGTGCTGGATAGCCTTAACACCTGGAATTTACTTAATAGACACCATTTTTAATTAACATTTTTTATACTGTATCCATAATTGGTCTAAATGTCTTGCCTAAAAGATAGTATACAGAGCTGCAAGACCTGGCCCCAGTTTTTTCAAGGGCTGGATCTTTATTCTTGTTCATTCCCATGTGTCATTCTTTCTCATCAATCAAACATTAACCAGAGTCCATAGATCCCAAAGAAAAACGTTAAAAAAAAAGAGCATCAAATGTCTCACTTTGGTTCCTGTAGCAATGGCTCTGAAACTTATTTTGTGTATTGACTAGATAAATATGGGAAAGGGGAAAAACGTAACACACAGAGACCTTCCCCATTCCATCTCAACTGCTACAACGGAACTATTGATAATGCTGTAAATGATACCAGTAAAATAATGTCAGAAGTTTTGTTCTGGTTTTGGGCTTTATTGGCAATTCTGGTTACCACCCAGAGGATCCTCAAGTGATTGACAAACCATGAAATTGTTAAATGTCTTTATTCGTAACATTTGTATATATATAAATCAGAAGGGAAGACGTTGACTCTTGTTGTTCAGTGTTCAGTATAGTGAACATAACTGGCTTTAACTGTGATATCAGTTGCATTATGATACCTGGGAGATTTTCAAAACCACTGCTGAACACCACCAGTCAGTGGATTGTTCAGCATGTAAGTCATGGTATCCATATTCCAGCCATGCTCTGTTAAGTGTCATATCATGTTATTAAACCCCTGTACCAGATGACATAGTGTTGTTTTGGTTGTTTTTATACTCCTTTATTCTTGCAAATGTGTTTGAAAGAGGTCTAATATGTCCACTTCTACTTGGATGTGTGTAGTCATAATTAAGAATAAAGTAGTGCAATATTAAATGCACATACCTAGAAATGGTCATAAGTTTCAAACGTTTTGTTCTTAATGTAATTTTGACATTTTCACTCTAGATAATGTACTGTACTTTTCTTGCAGATGAAGAGTGCGTAGAAACTTAACTTCTCCTTATATGCTTTGGTGGAATGTTGATTAAGCACAGGGGAAGTTTATCTATTACATACAGTTTTTAATATGATGTTATGTCTTTCAGTCTTATATGGTACTCTGCTAAATGTCAATCCTTTCTGGGCTCGCGGTAGCAT